TTGCAAAGCCGTACTATATGATTGTTTCGAGTTCTCGATAAGCCGTCGAGCCGATCGGTCGTCTGTTTACAACGCTCGTGAACTACTATTGCTAACTCAGTTCGAAATCTGTGTGCACAAACAAGTCAGTGTAACTATAGCGGTGGATATCCGTGTGTCTTAACACATGGAATCCCAGCCAGTAACGGCACCAAACAACTGAGAATTTCAAAGCTAGGTAATTCCTGTACCATGCAATTAAATGCAAACACAGCATCCGACGATATCGAAATGAATGCAGAAAGTCCAACGTGCTCCAAGCAAATAAAAAAAGAAAAATCTATCCAAGTAAGGATCTAACAACTGTCACACAGACATAGATTCTGACACATGGTTACAGGATATACCAACAACTGACACATACAGTGCTCTTACTTATTCAAACGACATAACAACCGACACCATTACAAATATATCAACTGAAACAGTTAAGCCGCCTCCTATCTACATACAAGCTCAAATTATTGAACAGTTAATAGAACTACTTCAACAACAAGTAGGAAATAACAATTTTATTTTAAAACAACTAAAAGAAAACCAGGTAAAAATTTAACTTAAATCGTCGAAAAATTACAGCATAGTAATAAACGCACTAAAAAACAGAAAAGCAAACTTTCATACATATCAATCGAAAATAAATCGAAGATATAAAGTGGTACTACGAGGTATTCACCCTAAAACAGACACAAACAAAATAATTAAAAAACTACAATACAACCACACAATCAGAAGTATAAGCAACATAACTAAGTTTGACACAACACAATGTCATCGCTGTCAAACCTTCGGCCACACCAAGAACTACTGTAACAAACCACCAGCTTACGTTAAATGTGCAGGAAATCACTTAACAACGTATCGAAGAAGGGAAAGTAAAACACGTAAAATGTCGGAATTGTCAAGGAAATCACCCTGCAAGCTACAAAGGATACATAGTTCGGAAATAACTACAACAAAAGCTATTCCCTACCTTCAGAAAAAGAAATGAACTCTTATCAACACAAACAAATATAAATCAGAACGCAGAATTCACGCTACCCCCAACCATCTCAACCAAATTCAACCGCCAAGGGAATGTAGCTGAAAAAAGCTATGTACAGGCAACTGCTGGATACAACTCCACTCTCTATCCGCTGCAAGACCACAATACTGTTGCTTCCACAACTAATCTTACACAACTTCTGATTCAATCCATTAAAGACACAGAACTAACTATCAACATGTTATCAACACAAACTTCACTGCTATAACAACAATCTCAACAAATTACCACCATGGTAGAATTACTAACAAAACATGTCAACAACAACGTCAAATAATGGACAATACACTCAAAATAGCGGTTTGGAACAGCAACGGGTTACAACAAAGAATACAAGAGCTTAAAGTATTTATTCACACACAAAAAATTGACATCGTACTGATTTCAGAAACACATTTCACCAACACAAATTACGTAAAAATTCCACACTATAGCATATACGATACTAAACACCCATCTGGAAGAGCACATGGAGGAACAGCTGTTATTATAAAAAATAACATTAGTCATCACTTACACAGTACCACTTCACGAGAATATCTACAAACAACAACAATAACAATAGAAACAACAAAAGGGGCAATCCAATTATCAGCCGTATACTCTCCCCCAAAGCACAAACTCAATACAGAACAATACCAGAACTTCTTCGAAACTCTAGGCAACAAATTTCCAGCTGCGGGAGATTATAATACTAAGAATCGATACTGGGGGTCAAAAAGAACCTCACTAGAGGTAAAACACTACTTTCAGTGATAGAAAAACTGTCTCTGACACCATTATCAACCGGTGAACCCACATATTGGCCAACAACACACGAAAAAACACCAGACTTATTAGACTTTGCTATAATCAAAGGTTTAAATAAAAATCAACTTAAGCTATCATCCAACCTTGACCTGAGCTCAGACCTGAGTTATCATCCAGCCTTGACCAAAGCATTGTGCCCCGCTTTCTTCATCTTGAATATACAGGGTGTCCCGTAAAGGGTGTAACAGCCGGAAATGGGGGGTTGCTGGGGTGACTCTGAACAACTTTTTCCTTTACCAAAATGTTGGTTGAAGCTCCGTTTTTGAATTATTAACGAAAAACACTGGCCAACCAGAGCGCGTGTAGAGCCCGCGCTCAACCACGGGAGCGCTGACTCTCATCCGCGCGCGATCGTGAACAAACGCATTGGCACAACGTGGGTATCGAGGGAAGCGTGCGGCAAATGCTACATCGTCTTAAATTAAGAATAATCTGGAATTATTCGTTGTTCATGAATAACAAATAAACTAATAAGTCGTTTAACACGTTGAATTCCGAAAAAGAATTTTTTATTCTAATACAACATATTGCAATACGCATAAATAATATGTCAATAGTAGGTGAAAATTTTACAAATACTACCATTTATTCAAATTAAGTGCTTTTACCAATTTTGAGAAATTAATAACTGTTTTCGATACTTTTATTCGTTATCCGAAAGGAATAGTGTTTTATTACTTATGAAAAACTTACCCATTCGTCAACGAATTAATCTGCTTCGATGGAAGTGGGTCATTGTGCTAATCCTGACCTTTCAAGGCAACCCTCAACAGCTGATGTTACGGCCGGGTCGGTGAACTCACTTTACTGCACGGCCACTTTTACTCTTTTCGGCGATATTATAAAAAATAAATCGTTGCTACATCGTAATCGCAAAATAGCCAAATTAGTGTAATTTATGACACTGATGTGGGTGAGGAAACGCCGTTACACTGTTTTCACCTCAATTTATTAAGATATACACTACCGGCCAAAAGTTTGGAATCACCGAGCATTGCAATTTACACAAAAATTTCCAGAAAAAAGTCAGCGACTTCGAGAATTTTTTATCGTTCGAATCAATTGATATGAGATAAATTGACAAATGTAGAATTGAGATAAACTTCAAATCTATAAAAGAGTAATGTACATAATTGTGACGGTAGGTGTACAATTCGCCCGGAAAATACAATCGTTTTATAACTAGCCCGGCGGCAGCGGTTCGGCGGGTACGTCTCGACGGTTGGTAGAAGAAAAACTGAACTGAGGTTTTTATATTGGTAGAACGGGGAGACAGGAGTAGAGATAGATAAAGATGGAAGTAGAGAAAGTGGTGGAAACGGAAAATTTGCAGAAAGCGGGGCTACTAGCAGATACCTAGACGCCTCCTCTAACCATCACTCCTCTAAGAAGAATTCGATAATTAGCTCTTTAGCATATAGAGTGATCAACATTTGTGAAACGGAAAACTTGCCTCAAGAACTTGATCACCTCAGATCCACCCTACAGCAGAACAGGTTCTCCGGATTGAAAATAGATGTCGATGCACAGTCGACAAGATCGTCCACTTCAAGGACAGATAACACATTTCGGACAGTGATAATTAACGTTAACACTACCTTCCTACTTTACAAACAAGGGACAGCTGATCGTATTGACAGGATGCTAAGAAAGTACAACATTAGAACCATCTTCCCCACACATACCAAGATTGGACGAATGCTCACTTTTCTCAAGGATTTGCAACCGTAACTTTCATCGGCAGAGCGTTACGAAATATTAGAGGTGTGCGAGAACCCGAAAATATCAGGTACCGGATACTCGAATCAGGTCGAGAATTGTTTTGGTCGGCTCAGGAAAGTGTTTACAAACATTGTGTCTAATACGTTCTTACTTTAGCTTTTTCACTACGTACTACATACACAGTACTCATAAACAGTTCATGAAGCTTAAATGTATCGCGTACTGTTTAACCGAAATTTATAAATTCTGAAGGAAATGTGTACTAGTAATGACAGTAAACACTTCCCATTCACGTTCGTATTCAACAAAGTTTTCCAAATTTTGGGAATCCCGTGCCGACTGAAATAATTCCCGAAATTTTCGAGTTCTCGTACACCTGCATAAAATACATTGTTTATGCAAAAAGATCTACATTGGAAAAGCTGGGAGGAGTGTGAACACACGACTCAAAGGACATGAGCGATGCACCAGATTGGGTTACATTCAGCCAGTTGTTGCAGAACATCAAGCAACAGGATACAAGATTACCGTCAACGAAGTGAAAATCATTGCTAAACCAAAAGGATATTTCCCTAGGAAATATAGGGAAACGTTGGGGATAATGAAACACCCTAACAACATCGGTAGAGATGCAGAACACCAGCTAAACCCAATCTGGAGCTCTTTCCTCCCAGTTTTTCAATTGTTCAGTTGACTAATAAAAGTTCTCTGTGATTGGTAAACAGTGAACCGAAACAAAGCAATGAGCTAGAACATAGGCAGTTAAAAAACATATCTCCACTAAGCCTACGCCAGTATCATTGTGTCATTCTAACCCTGATGGGGTAAGCTGCAATGCTTATGAAACGTCGGAATATTTCTTCCATAAGGACACGGCTTACACTCGGAAACCTCAACAGTAATAACTGGTGTAATACCGGGCCGAGAAAGTCTCAAATCTACAATTCTTTTCTTCCATTTTTTTTTTCTTGCTTTCTTTATTTATCTGTTACTTTTATATTGTAACGAGTAACTCAAGCCCACGAGCTGGTAAGTCTCCCCACCTCGCGCAGTGGTTCCTTGGTGGGGCAATCTGTGTAATGCAGAAACCACACATTCCGTGAGAATAGTAAATTCGTCTAAAAATAAGGCGGAATTAGGTCCGTACACAGAAACACGCTATGCAAAGATGGAAAAATGGCTAACGACACTTCACCTTTGACACTCTCGAAGCCACCATCTTAAGGTTTTTGGTGGCCCACGCTAACATCATGTGGATACATTTCAAGACGAGGGATACGATCTGAATCTAAAATGCCAATGTTTTGAAGTTCATCGCTATATGCTATTCAAATTTGAAGTGTCCCGTGTACTCTCTTTGTCACGCGATGCTACATACATAACTCGTCTAGCAGGTGTGACCGTTTTGGCCAATAACAAAAATACATGTGCCCTGCTTTTGTGATTGTGTAAGAGAAGGTGGGCCTATTACACTATAATCAATCAGACCCACATTCTTTATGTTAGCCAACTTCTCATATCTGCACTATATTTAAATCAAACGTACCTAGGAAGCATGTTACATTTAAGTTAACATTTTTTACGTTAAAAATTTATATACTGTGCAGTAAACTTCGGTAAATGTAATATTTTCTACACTAAAGTTCAACATAAAAATTTATTTATAACTTACGTGCACTACAAACAACTTTTTGCATTAACAAAAATTGTTCCCAAACCTAAAACCCTCCCGAGTAAAATGAGAAAAAGGATTATTCATACGAATACCACTTTCATAGATAAAAATTCATTTATGTGATAAAACTGCGTTAAAACTAGCGAAAATTAGCAATTTTATTTAACAGTAACTTCTTAGCTATAGAATTTCACGAGTATATTTATATCTCAGCTTTTGATTAGAATGATTATCCGAATCAATTGCTTAAAAACAGATATTTCTACGTAAAAATCAAAGATACTACTTCGGACATCCACCCTATCCAAGCTGGTGTACCACAGGGAAGTGTATAGTAGTCTGTTTACTGTCAGTAGTGGAATCGACCCGACATTTTACTGACACTTGTGGAATCGACCCTACATTTTTTTTTTTTTTTTTACGTGGATGTAGGCCGACCCTACATTTTACCGGTGTTAGTAACATTTCACTGACACTAGTGGAATCGACCCTACATTTTACTGACACTTGTGGAATCGACCCTACATTTTTTTTCTTTTTCGTGGAGGTAGGCCGACTCTATGTGATAAACAATTGGCAACCAAACGGTCGCTCTCCCTCTACATTCGACGGATAATGTGTACAGGTATTTAATGTATTCTTTTAGCAATTTGTTTTTGTAATTCATCCAAAGCGATATATTATGAAATTAAATTAATCACTCAATAAGTATTAACATTAGATTGTTTCCTCGATATGGCCATGGTGGTCATCAGTGACTGGAGTGCCTCAAATGTTTAGAATAATTAAAATAAAATAAATGTTGTCAACTAAAAATTTTGAACGTCATAGCTAGCTAGACATTATTTTAAATTGAAAAAAAAAATTATAAAGTATAATACTACAATCTTATGCTTAAAATGTATTTTCTTGTGGCCGCCTGACAGCAACCTGTAAATCTGGCGTGACAGTCAACGTGTTAATAAGTAAATGTTGTTCAAATTATGTCGTGTTTGATGTCATTTTCATCGGAAAAATCTCATCAATATGTTAAGAAAAATTTCGGGATAAAAAAACGTAAAATTAAAAAAGTCGATATTTAAATCGCTTGGTTGCCTCAACTCAGGTCTCATCCTTATCTTTTATTCGCTGTCCTTGTCTACGTTCGGCAAACTACAAAGGGGGGCGCGAGGCTTGGAAATGTAGTCCCCGATTCTACGAGTGTCAGGTTTAGCTTCCTTGCGGTCTGACACTTCTGGAGAATATACTGTACTTGGTCCACTACTCTACACTATTTACACAGCCGATATTCCCACTGACCCACACCCAAATCTTTACGTTTGCAGACGACACTGCAATATTGTCTATACACAACGATATCAACATTGCTACCTGCAAACTACAAAACTACATCACCTCATTAGAAAACTGGCTATAATCCAATAGAATTAAGGTAAATGTCACGAAATGTACTCATGTTATCTTTACATTACGAAAAACTACGCAGGCAGTCAGCCTGAAACTGAACCACAACAGTATTCAGCAATCTACAACAGTCAAATATTTAAGACTGATAGCAAATTGACATGGAAAAAGCATATATAGCAAAAAATAAAACAGATTAAACTACTAAATTAAAATATGTACTGGTTAATGTCTAGAAAGTCCAAACTCAGTAAAAATAATAAAATGCTGGTATACAAAAGCGTAATAAAACCAACATGGAGCTACGGAATCCAACTTTGGGGAATGGCTGCCAAGTCACACATTCAAAAAATGGAAAGCTTACAATCAAGAATTCTTCGTGCAATCTTGGACGCATCCTGGTATGTCCAAAACGATAACATTCGTAAAACATTAAACGCCCATTCAGTGCAAGAAGAAATAATACGACTTTCCAAATCACACAAGATCAGAATCGAAACCCATACGAATCCATCCACAACAAATTGTTACAAAGAAATAGCCAGAAGACTAAAGCGAAAACACCCATTGGACTTATTAAATTTACCAACTATACAACCCGATAAATAACCTATAAGAAACCTGTAAACATCATGTAGATATCCTATGCATCCTACAGTGCTTGCCGTTAAATGTAAACGGAAGACAATAGTTATAATATAACTATTTGTAAATATTTATATAAATAGGAACAAATAATAAAGTGGAGCATAAAAAAAAAAATCAATTGGTAAATTCTTGTTCATTCGTGCAAGAAGACCCTATACGTTAACATTAAGAATTTTGCATAATGTATTATGTCCCCAATTATTTTGTGATACTTCAGAAATCCCGTGCAGTACAAACCAAAATGTTAGGCTTTATTAAACACACGAAGGAACTTCAATTTTGGCCAAACTTTTATTATGCAAATTATTATAGATACTTTAATATATAACCGGCACAAATATTGAATCATAATTCAACAATAATAACTCATAATTTTAAAAACATAATTGAATAGTGAAAGAAGTTAACACTAACTAAATACATTAAAATTTAGAACAATTGAAAAAAAGAATAGATTCAGAAATATTTTACTTTATTAAATACCGTTTTTATTGAAAAATATTCAAATGCGTGACAAAATATTTTGACAGTGAATACTTGGATCCATATTTAACACTAGAATTACCAGCCGAGTCAAAATGACCCGTTAGTGACTTTCCAAAAGTGAAGTTTTATGTAAGTAAACCGTGATTGGAAAATTCGATTCATATCGATACAAATGGAAGCATATATGTAGAAAATAAATTCGGAAAGTTACAAACGATAATACTTACCAGTATTGAACATTCACGTTTCTTCGAAAGATGCTAATGTGACATTTCGAACCAGTCGGTAGTTCTAAATAGCCAAGCATATTGCACGGGCCTGTAACGTATACTACTACAGCGTTCCCTCCACCGTTCTCCCCGAAAATTTTGTCCATACAGGCTCGAGTTGCACACCCTTGTTACAGGTTATTTAAGGAGATAAGTAGATTGATGGATTATTATAATGCAAGAGAAACTACGTTGTGCTTTACCTATCAACCTACCAATGAAACCATAGATAGCGTCAAATTTGACTTATTAAAATTTTATTGTTTGCGTCCTAAAAGAACATAGATTACTTACATTTAACAAAATTTAAGTAACCATTAAATTTTGAAAAAGATATGAGTGTGCACAAAGGTATCTTTTATCATTAAAATGAGAGTGAATAATTTTATTGCTATTTTCGCGCCTTTACAAGTAACAGAAGTAGTAAAATTACACACTTTTTTACGTTCAGCTTCACTTTTTGTCTCCAAAAAGTAAAGTATAGTAACTTTTTATAATTATAAAATTCCTCTTTTCTTTAGCAAGGTAATAGTTTATTGGTATAACATCCTAGAAGTAGACTGGATTAATTATTTTCTAACCAAATTTATTGATTTTCTACAATGCTTATATTCTCACAGATAATCACCTGATGAAAACAGTGATTTTTTGTGAAACGAAACATCTTTACCCTCGGTATTTAGACTAAAACCAGTTATTCATGACAGACTTCTGTCCCGATTAAATATTAACAATTCGTAATTAACAACTCTTATCAAATACATGATAGATTTTTGTTTAAATATATATTTCATTTGTATTTGTCATATGGATTCGTTCTATTTAATCAACGTCAGCACATGATTATACGTGTATTTTGCAAAGTGTTTGACGCAACTGGGCAGGGCTGCATTTTTAAAACAGTTAGAGATAAGAAAACATTTGAGGGGACAAATACAAATTAAATGGTGTTATATATTTTATATTTCTGCATTATTTTTATGCATTTTTGTGCCTATCGGTTACAAAGTGCAATTGCACTCTTTTTATAAATGGAACTATGTAATCTTTTTGCATAAATCAATTCTTTGGATTATGTTACGTATAAAAGTATTAGACGAAGATGATCGAAAAATCAATAATTCACGAGATATAAATAAACAAACAAATAATATTAAGACTTGAATAAAAAAATATTCACAATATGGTGGAAAATTTTTTGACACCTAACTCGAAAATTATGTGGAAGGGTGAACCGGGCTGTGCTTGTTAGATAAGAGAATGCATAAAGGTACTTATATTTTACTACGAAAGTTGAAATATGTCGTGAATTAAAATGACATAAAAACGGGTATATTTCTTGTTACTCTTGTTTAATCCACACAATACTCATCGATATTTGCGTGTATCGTGCTCTTCCTTAAATTCATTTCACCCTTCAGGGATTAAAATGGCTTCTTAATGAGAAACGTTACAAATTATGAAGAGTCGTTAACAAGTTTCGAATGACTTGTTCGGTAGATAAGTGAGTGAAAATCAATTAAGCCACCAGGTATAAAATGGGACACGAGCTGAATGTGTGATAGATCGATATTGCCGTTCTCGATGTCGACAATCTATTTCTCTCGGAAAAGAATCGGCTTTCGGGAACCATATGCTCCACCAGCCGTATGGTACGATCCTGAAAACGTTCCATTTAGTCACTTTTTCACTACTTTCATAAAATGCGAAATTTAAAAGAACATTATAAGGCGTAAATAATGCTTGCATGTTTTTAAGTACCTATATATTTTAAATATGTGCGTGTGAAATTATGTAAGTTTAAACTTTATATTAGAATTATTAAGCTTATTTCTGTAATGACGATGACTGAAGCTAGAGTTTAAATGTTAACGAAAGCTGAGAACTACATACAATAATTTCAGAAAGCTGGAAACGATAAATAAAACGTTTATAAAATATACAGGCTGTTTCGATTAAACATTCCCTCGTGAATTCACTTTAAACTTTACTTTTTTCGTTATTACTAAAAGATTTTGTTGCTCAGTTGAAATCGCCTTTGACAGAAAGAAATAAGACAATAAGAGTTCTGCCAGAAAATGGTGCATGAAATACTAAGGCAGCGTTTAAAATTTTTTATTTAAATAAAGAAAAATTAATAACTGACCAATTATGAACTTAACGTTAGTAGCTGTAAAATAGTAGTTATAAAAAGACCAGTAACAGTTACTTTATTTTTATTTCATATTCAGTGGCCGCTAGAATGCACATCGTTCGTGTCAACAAGTACTTATATACATACTTATCATTTTTCGTCTTTTTCTATGTAAACATTAATAGTAAGCATTAGTTATTGGATAACATTATTGAAGAGAGCATAAAACCATGGTGTAAGAGAATGATGTTTGTACAACCTTAAAAGAAATGTAACATATGACAAATCATAGTAAACAATTCAATTTTACCAAATATTTGGGAATAACAATATCAGGTAGAAAACTTTTATAGTTAGGTAACAATGGGTTGTATGATAAAAGGAGTAATAATAGATTTGTTTGTAAATAGTCATCAAATACAAATTTCATACAGCTTCAAACGAAAATAATGTTAATTCGTACAAAAACAAAAATAAATGAAACAACGTAATATCAACTCAAATGAGTTTGAAAAATAATTAAAGCAAGGGATAAATTCAGAGAAATTTAACGAGTAATAAAAGTGGAAGAAAAATCTTACCGCATTGAAACTTTCTAAATTTAATGTGTAGATTTTGCAAGCCGTTAATTTAAGAGATGTTAAGCTTTTTGATAACATTATTATCAGAAGTTTTCTGCAATTATATGACGATTCATACCATTTGCCATTTGTCCTGAAAATATATATTTTCATTTAAATCCTTCCCTATTTGCACTACAATTTATGTAACAACTGTAAATCCTAAAATTCTATATCGCATATTATTATACTCTTTCATTTTCTCGTTACAATTATAATAAATAGTCATTCTTACAACAAAATAAATTATCATTATTCCATAATAATTCCACTAATAATGTTAATGCGACAATTAAAAGTGGCATCTACATTATTTCAATATAAAAAATGGTGTATTGACTGGCAAAGCAAACTTGAAGCTTCAGGGGGGGGACTTAAGGTCTAGAAGTAAGAGATGTAAGTGAAATTGTGACGTCTCGCTGTCAATCAGTCAACAGTGATAGAATAGAGTCATGGCACTTCTATGAATGGTAAGCAACGATCAAACCTCGCATGAGCAGTAGGTTGGTCCTTATTTTTCGACCACCGATATTTTTTTGTCTTACCCTCTTAAATTATGACACTTGGTGAGAAATGATATGTGCAAAATTTTAGTGTGATAGACAACAGGGGCTCGTACCGCATTTGAGTTAATATTTTGAAATTTTAGCGATTTCACGTTAGTTTTGAACATAATCGTATTTAGCTATTTTGGAAATATTAGTAATATTTTTGAATAAAAGTAAAATGTCTTAGATGCATAATAATAATATTTATGTGTTACTTCCAGAAATATATACAAAATCTTTGAATTTTATTTAGCATTAGGTTTAGCATGTAACGCGGCGTCTGAGTCACGCTGCTACATGAGTCAACTAGCAAATGGAAGGAATTAGAGATTTATGTATATTTATGGCAAATTTATATATTGAAGCTTGGTTTAATGCTCCAATTCCTGCGGTAGCTCCACGTCAGGATTTACGATTTTTGCAAGAACATTCTGAATATAAAAAAATTGACGAAAACCCAAGCCGGGTAAGACTAAACAAATTTCGTGGGCATTTGTGGTATCCGACGCCAGAACGTGCAGCATTATCTTTTTTTGACACAGCTTTATCGTTTAATATAAAAAGACGAATAGTATAAAATTTGGAAAATACAGATAAAGAAGTTTCATTAAAAAATGTTATTTTAAAAGATATGGAAAATATTGCTAATACCGGTATAGACAATTTCATTTCAGCAGAAAACCGGAGATTTTTCATTAGATTTAATATAGATATAAATTTTTTACAAAAAGACCCATCGGTTTAGGAAAACGATTATTCGTATAAAGCAGGGTTAGAAATAGTACAAAATTTGAAAATAGTTAATGACGTTGCAGAGCGAGGCGCAAAGCTGATATCCGAATATAATAACATGCTAACAAAGGACGAAGAAAATTCACAATACCTACATATACAAAGTGTCTGTTTTATCTCAATATTAGGAAAAAAATGTTTTAACAAAAGTTGTTTGGTACGAGGGGGAAAATTATGTGGTGTAAATATTTTTTTTGTACCGGGTATGGTGGGGGAGATTTCAAAGTCAGTTTAATTTTTTTAAATGGAATGCTATATTTTTTTATACATAATATGATAGTGTATGTTAATTAAACTGACTTTGAAATCTCCCCCACCATACCGGATACAAAAAAAATATTTATACCACATAATTTTCCCCCTCGTATCAAACCTTTGTTAAAACATTTTTTTCCTAACATCACTTCCTTAAAAGATATTTCACTGTATTGAGATAAAACCGACACCCTGTATGTTACAAATATTAAAAGAGTTGCGAAAATGCAACTAAATCAAGTTTCACAAAAGACATATGTTAACAAACATATTATTTTAATTTATATTATGTGCGTTTTCTGTTTAATCTTCATTATATATAGCTATAAGTTAAGCTTTAAAAATGCTTTGTTCATCACTGTACAAATAATTACAACTTTAATTAAGAACTACTTATATAATTATGAGAAAATAGCAAATAAGCAAATTTTTGTAAATATAGAATATTGTAGATCATGACGCCTATAACTACATATAGCAGCTTAGACGCTACGTTGTCTGCTAATTTTAAAGTTAGTAAAACTCAAACATTCTGCATATATATTGAAGCAATAGATAAATATTATTATTATACGCCTAATAAATTATGTTTATATTAAATACTATTCACTAATGTTTCTAAAATAACCGAAGAAAATTATGTTCGAAATTAACGTGAAATTATGAAAATTTGAGAATTTTAACTCAAATGCGGCTTGAGTTCCCGTTGTCCAATCGCTTTCAAATTTTGCACATATCGTTTTCTTGATATAAGACAAGAAAAAACAAAAAATTTCTGACTCCGCGATTTTCGAGGCGCGGATACAGTGGCTGTCGATCTGTGGTGGCATGCATTTTTTCATTTTATTCAAAAATTTTAGAATGTCACAAGTAATTTTTTAAAACGCAGAAAACTATTTTTATTATTCAGGAATAACAAAAAAATATTTTGTTTTCGTTTTTTTAAATCTTAGAAAATATTAATATATTTTGTGACGTTTCCTTTACAATAATAATTTATTGTATGTCAGTCATTTGGAAATTAATATCTGTGCCATTAAACGTTTGTCTTACGCGCCGACCCAGGTGAGAAGACCAATCTTTAGTTTCCTGTCTCTTATCAGCGTGCTACATTATCGACAGCTCATTGAAACTTATTAATCTATACTATTTACCTACACCGCAACTCTTCCTCAAACAGCGGCAATGTAAGATCGAAGAGTAGTGAGGATGGACTGACGGACTATGTATTTTCCGCTTATTTAATCTGGCGACAACGTCAGAAGCACAGACGAGGTACAGAATAGATCTATCACCTAATACATTTTTTTATCCTATATCAGGAGGACTGTAAGTGCTCTTACCATTTGCGTGTTGCTTCTAACGTTACCGATTCAGTACAGAATAAGATTACAACATTAGTAGTGGCTAGAATTGGAATTAAACGTAATTATAAAATTACGAATAAGAAATTAACGTACACCTAACCCCCGATTTACATGGTACTTTTTTCACACGATTTCGCTTTTACACGGTTTTCAAAATAACGGATTTTCAAAAATATAAACTGTTACAAACAAAAATTTACGCTGCGCGCATATATATATACAGTAATTTTTTTGTGCACAGAAAGCATGCATATGGTAAGATAAAGTTTGTTACCGACGCAGCTATTTTCGCCTTCATCGATTGCTTAAAGTACGATCAATGTTTAATTCAATATGAGGTCTATAAAGATCTAACCAAAATCCAAACACAACTGTTAATTACGGATTCATTACCAAGTCTCTCCGATCTGAAAGTGTCACTAATTCATCAACCATCGAATCAGAATCACCTCAAATACTGTCGACTGATGAAAGTGAAATCCCACCAACCAGGAAGAAAAGATTAATAATTTATGATAGTGATGATAATAATTAAACCTTTGGACTAATTTTTTATGAATTTTGTATTTCTGGTATCTTTAAAGTGAATTACATATAGCTTTATATATGTATTTGTTATTTCATGAATGGACTAATATTTTTCTTTTTTCATTTGTATTTTATTTTTATTTTACGTTGAAATAAATTAATTTAATTAAATAATCGACTAAATTATGCGCATTTTGTTTTTTTTCTCTATTTATACGGTTTTCCCAAATATGCTTTCCCATTATATGTATGTATCTTTATACACATAAAAAAGGAATTTTTACATCTGTCAATTTTACCATCTTTGATGGTTGGATTGTCATTAGGTGCAAGATCTATCCTGTATCGTCTGTGGTAACAGTATACACACAACCAATATCGATCGTTTTGCGCGATGCAGTTCTTAAAATGACCGTTCTTAAGCGTAGAGTGCGCATCAATACCAATAGTTTTGAACAACGTCGGTATTTCAGATTCTATGATAAAAAGTCCTATAAGATGATTAGTCTGCCCTACGTCTCGTCTGTGCCACTACAATGTACAAAAAATGGATTGGTAATGGATTGGTAAGATCTTCCACGTTAAAATTAAACTAAACATATCTTCAACAAAATTATTTGAAGTTAGTATGATAAATAAAATATGTATATAATTTTATTTGTTAAATGAATTCATTCATCTGCAAATTCACATCAATGTTTTGAAAGTTACTGTGATCAGAAATAATTCGGACTTTTAATAACTTTGTACTTCTCTATATAAAGAATCATAGACAATCAACTGTGTTAAAAAGAGCAGGTACACTTTAGAAATCAAGACGATTCTTTCCAAAACATGAACACATTCTACAAATAAGATTCTTCAAATGACAAAAAATCTGTAATTTCCAATTTGTAAACAAAATTGTCCCTGTTAAGGTCCATTTACTTTCGTATCAATGCCATCTGTTACGTATCAGTAATGAGTATTCACACATTTCAGTATTCATACAGTTTTTAGACAGTGTGGAATTCAAAAGAATTGTAGAAAGATTACACGATTATTTATTTTTCAAACAAAATTGGAAAATTTGTAACATATAAAAACATATTAACTTTACCATTTCCACTCATTTCTTTTCCTATGTTATTTCATTTTCTCAGCTTGTGTAAACCGTACACATGCAGCTGCGGACAAAAGTTTCCGAACGACAGCGTTTTTCGTGTTTAATTAAATTTTATATATTTCTTTTGAAGTTGTGGTAAGAGAGTAATTACGTACAACAATAGAGAATTTAACGATCTACAAGAATCACTACACTAAAGCAAGTTTCTAAAAAATATATTTGCTATCTTACATTTAACTTGTACATATTTGAACAAAATATAGCATGACAAAAGTTTCCGAACAATTAAAATTGGTTGAAGTAAGGAACTATAGTTACCGAATATACTGTTTGTAATAAAGTTGGTTGCAACTAAACGTACACAGAAACAAATACTTGTTACGGGTTACGCTTGTTGTGTCCTCACACGGAGCGTAATATTGGGTTGGGTTTGTGGATCGGTCAAAACGTTCACCGTATGAGAGTGATACGTTGTTGACAACAAATCCGACAGGATTGG